CAATCCCCAGTACCAAAAAAAAGATACTGAGAAAACAGATATGGTGGCACACACCTGTAATCTCATACAAAGTTCAAGGCCAGCCTGAACTACATAGCAAGACTGTCTCAAAAAACAAAAAACAAACCAAAGCAAAACAAAAATCCAACAATTAAAACAAAAACAAAAACAGCCATATTGAAGCCAGGCGTGGTGGCACATGCCTGTAATTCCAGCATTTGGGAAACTGAGGCAGGAGGATCTCCACAAGTTCAAGGTTAGTCTGGGTTACATACTGAGTTCAAGGACAGCCTGAAGTACATAGTGAGATCCTGTTTCAAACCTCCCCCCCACCAAAATAAAAGCCATATTGAGAAGCTAGAGATATAGCTCAGTGGTAAAAACTTGCCTAGCATGCACAGGAGACTTTTTATAGAAAAATAAACTGTGGTAAAACTTTCTAGCTTATCTAACATGCTCAGGACCCAGTACTGCAAAAACAAAATAAAACAAAACCATGTTGTTGTTTTTGCGGTACCAGGGATCGAACTCAGGACCTTGTGCTTGCAAGACAGGCGTGGCACCAGTGAGCTAAATCCCCAGCCTAAAACAAAACCATATTAAAGTGGCTACGTTTGATTGGTTAGCACAGATGTGACAATCCTTCTCAAGATTCTAGGATATAAGATGCTTGAGAAAAAACACACCACACACACACACACAAAAAGATGCTTGAAGAATATCTGTAAATTGCTTTCACAACAATTGACCCCCCCACGCACACACAGACTCTAGTTTTATGCATGTGTATTTGGGCTTTTAAGTCAATCAAAAGTCCCACATTTCTGCAAAAATAAAAGATTAGTCAAATCAGTCTTGTGCCAAATCATTGTACCAATAATTTAGTAGGGCATAAAGCTCCCAAATGGGATGCCGAGAGTGTACAAAGCATAAACACAGCAAAGCAAGTCAGTGGTGACTGTAATGAGTGGGCCAAGCTCAGTAGGATGCTCCTAACAATACCAACTATACCACAATTAATTCTGCCTCAGAGCCACAAAAACTAGTCATTCATTCATCCAAAACACATTTACCAAACTAGGAGTTATGCTCAGACCTGATGATATAAGAATAAATCAGACACATGAGACCCCTACAGCCTTAAAGCATAGGATCTGGTGGAAGAAGTTGATATTTAAGCAACGTGTTTATTATTTTCAAAAATAACTTTGTTTTAATAGAAAATGTGTTCTCTGTTCCAAATTCAGATATTATAGAAAAATCAACTGTGAAATTGTTTTTCTTAAACCTGAGTTCCAAGGGCCTCAGTTCCCCACTTGGAGTTCAATTTTTATAGTTTCTTTTTTTTGGTACCAGGGATTGAACTTGGGGCCTTGTGCTTTCAAGGCAGGCGGTGGAAACACTGAGCTAAATCCCTGGCCCAATTTTTATAGTTTCTAAAGAAATTTCTACAGTGTGATCCATGTGATAACTGGAAGAGCATAGGGTGCCATCATGCATACTGTGGGGGTACCTAAGCCAGTCTAGGAGTTAGAGAATAAAGTGAACAATTGACCAAAGAAATGGTTCCCTAAGCCCCCAGTTCTAAGGAGAGAGAAAAGGAGGAAGAGAAGGAAAAAGGAGCGAGAACCACCAATCACAGGCAGCCAGTGTCCCTTGCCCTTACACAGCTACCGACAGCTGAAACCTACTTTGATCCTCAGGCAACTCAGTCCATTGCCAGCCATTATTCCAGGTATCACTGACAAATTAAGGCAACATTCTTGAGGTGGTGCCCTGTGCTTAGCATCAGGCTTACATGCCTAGAGTGCTCTGCCCAAATCTATGGACAGATGCATACCACATGTTATCCCCTGATTTTTGTTGCTGAGAAAAAGGGACTCATTTAAAACGTGAGTCGTGGGCTGGAGCAATTGAAGAGGAACTGGAAGAACTTTCTTCCTCTGCAAGCACTGTGAAATTTTCTATGCTGTTCATCACAAGGAAGAGAATAAGGTAGTAAGAAATCATAGACCTGACCTGGGGATTTAGCTCAGTGGCATTGCGCCTGTCTCACAAGCGTAAGGTTGTTTTTGATCCCCAGTACCAAAAAAGGAAATTATGTCTTCCTGATACAGTGTAAGTCTATGATTTTTTCTTTTTGTACTGGGGATCAAACTCAGGACCTTGCGCTTGTGAGGCAGGCGTGGTGCCACTGAGCTAAATCCCCAGGCCCTCATAATTTCCTTTCTTTGAGGTTGAGTGATTCTGAGGGACTTTCCTAAAGTCACCCAACCAAGGGACCTGGGATTTGAACCTACATCTGCCTGGCTTGAAGCCTTTTCCGTTCCTTCAAACTTTCCTCACGTTAGTAATGAGTTTGAATGCATCTTTCCCTGTGAGTTCCCTGCAAAGGCCCTTGATTCCCAAACTCTACCCTTATCAAGTGCCCTGAACCCCCAGGAAGATGACACTTTCTCATTTAGGGTACAGTACTACAGGCACAGTACCTTGGGTCTGTGAGATTTCTAAGGACCAAAACAACATATTAAAAGCCTTAGAAGGTTTATTGCCTCCATTTTTTGAAAGCAAACTGCTACACTAAAATGAATAATAAAATAGCTACACTGGGATGCATATTTACTAGTCAACTGGAATTGAATTCAGCCTTTATATAGTTTTATGTATATATGAATAAAGATTTTCAAGAACATAGTAAGCCATTTTTTAAAACATAGTTCAAAATTGTAATACTCCTTTCTTTTTTTTTTTGATACCGGGGATCAAACTTGGGTCCTTGTGCTTGCAAGGGAGGCTGAGGAACCACTGAGCTAAATCCCTGGCCCTAATCTTTTCTTTTTAAACAACAAGCAATATGGTTTTTTATTTGTTTGATTTTTGAGACAAGGTCTTGTTATATAGTTCAGGCTGGCCTTGAACTCTCTATGTATCCCAGGCTGGCCTCAAAGTTGCAGCAATCCTCCTGCCTCAGCCTCCTGATGACAGACGTATACCACTATGCCTGGCTTAGAAATGTGTACATTTATGGAAATGCATTTTGATGTGTTTTATAGGACCTCCCAAGGTCTTGGGAAGGTCCTTGGGTGGCATGAGAAGGCAGGAGAAGGACAGGGGACAAGTATATATGACAAAAACCTCCTGTCTTCAGCTCCCAGCTGCTCTGAGATTAAGACCACAGCAGCCACAGCCTGCGGCAACCAGCCTTGTCCCAGCCAGCCTTGTCCAGGCAGCGGGGCCTCTCTGGACTTCAATAACCCTAGTCTAAACAAAAGCCTGGGGGTTGCCTACCCAGTAGGCTGAGCCACCAAAGCTCTGGGGATCAGGGAAAACAAAGGGAGAAGAAAACCAGAGTGCTGACAGGGCCATCGGCCATTAGCCATAGGGCTATAAAGAGGCAGGCCACAGAGGAAGTGGCACCACATGGAGACCCAGACTGTGCAGCAGGAGCTGGGTGAGTAAGACCCTGAGGGGGCCCTGGCCTTTGCCCTTCCTCTCCTTTTCTTGAAGAGATACATGCAGGAGAGGGCTCACCTTTCCTGTCTAGAAATCAGAGCCTTTGAGGGTAGCTGGAGAACAGTGGAAAGCTCTAGAGAAAGGCAGCCTACTCTTCCACCCTAAAAAGAGCCACCTATATGGCAACAACTATTGCCCTAGAAACCATGACTGGAGGTAGGGGGTAGGGGACAGCAAGAAGTGAGTAGGCTCTGGGTGCAGGGAGAAGGTGTAGTGCCCAGGAGCATGAAGATGTTGCTTATTCAGAGGTCCAGAATAGAAAGTTTACATGCATTAGTTCCTGGGCCTGATAGTGGTTAGAGGAAAGAGCCACTTTTGGCTCCTGGGAATGTTTATCTTGAGTCATGAAACCTGATGTATATTTGTCTCCTCTTTTCACTTTCTTTCTCTCCTCCCTTTTCCCGTTCCCCTTCCTCCTATCCATTACTCATCTTACCATCTTTGCTGTCTACCTAACCTCTGTGACTCTCAATGTCCTCATCTATAAAATAGGAATAATGATAGTACTCACCTCATAGGTCTGTTGTGAAGATTAAATGCATTAATGCATGTAAAGTATTTAGAAAAGAGGTTGACACAGAGTGAGCAATTGTTAAGTGTTAACTATTATTGCACTCTTTCTTCTTCATTTTCCTTCAATAAGTCTTTTTCTTTCTTCTTTTTTTTTGGTACCGGGGATTGAACTCAGGACCTTCTGCTTGTGAGGCAGGCACAGTGTCACTGAGCTAAACCCCTGGCTTTCAATAAGTCTTTTTCAATGTTCCTCCTTTCCCAACATGGGCTTGGGAGGGTGCTGTATCAAACACTCACTACTCTTCTGCCCTGACATTGAAATGCTCACCCAGGATGATTTCAACAAGAACATAGATCAGTACTACGAGTGCTAGAAATAAGGGATAATCAAGTGGCTGAAGGCTGGAGAAAGCAGGAAAGTCACTGAGATGGCAAGATCAAGACCAGATAGGTCTAGGAGACAGAAAAACAGAGAGGGAATATGATAGTCTGGCCATGCACTACAGCAGGTAATTTTGAGAGCTGTGAGAAACCAGGAAAAGTGAGACCTTGCAAGGTCAGAGCCAAGGGTTCTTTTGAATCTGGGATGTGTGGTGGGGATCCTAGTACTTCTGGCTGTGTGGCCAGTCATATGAGAGGGTCTGGACTAGGCAGCTGTCTGGGAGTTTATAGTGTCTGAGACTGAGCAATGCTGTCATCTGGAGGCAAGCAAGAAAACAGAAGCTACGTTTACCAAGAGGTCACAAATGCCTGTGCAGTGCTTTACTTGCATTATTGTTTCTAATCCTTATAATAACTTTGCAAGTAGAAGCTTTACCAATGGAAAGCCTAAGCATCAGGTAATGAGCAGCTGAGCCAGGATCCCAATCAAAGTCTGTCTTTCAGACTTCAAGCTTTTTTCCCTCTCCTTGTGCTCTCTCACTTCTCCCCCACATCCCCAAAGCTACACTACTAGTGTGTGTTCTGTCTTCCAGAAACCCTTCCAACCACCAAGATGGCTCAGACCAACCCTATGCCTGGGTCCTTGGGGCCATGGAAGGTAAGTCCACCCCATCACATGAAAAATTGAGGGGTCCCATAGGACAGGAGTGAGATGGGCCCATAGAGCAGCCACCAGGGCTGTATTTGATCACAAGACAGTGACTAAGCAATAAAACACCAGCGTGTAGAAGGGTCCACCCAACATCCAGACAATGTTCAAGGAAAGATCACTCAGGATGCCTCCTATTTATTTATTTATTTATTTATTTATTTATTTTTGGTACCGGGGATTGAACTTGGGTCCTTGCGCTTGCGCAGCAGGCAGCAAAACCACTGAGCTAAATCCCCGGCCCTGGATGCCTCCTATTTAGACAGACAAAGGAAGATCTTTCAAGCCCATGATGAGTGGAGGGAGATGATACCTAGCTTCCTAGGTCAGCTCTCTTCTACACTGCTAAAATCATCTTAAAATAGAACAGCCTTGAGAGACTTATGCCCATGGAGAAAATGAAGGCCCATAAATGAAGAGAGATTTGGAGATTCCATGTAAGTCATAGGACCCAGGTTCACACTCGGCCTGAGGTTGGATTTAAGCTTGGGCTGAAATAGCTCACCCTCAGGCCTGTCTCTTGCTTCCCCAAAGGACCCCACTGTTCTCATTTGTTAACTCTGAAGCCAGTTCACAGCTTTGGGGGTGGTCCAAGAGCCAAGAACTAGTTAAAGGGACTACAACCCTCCCTTTACACTTTAGGTTTTTATAGTGAGTATGACTAGAGAAACAAAAAGTCCACAGGGAGCTTCTGGGAGCCCCAGAAGTCACACTTATTCAGGAGGCTTGATGGAATGAGAGAGCCCACTGCACCTCTGGTCTGTCCACTGGGCTAGCCATCATCCTTGGCAGATAATTCCTATTAAAAAGCAATTCTCCCATGTCTGACCCCTAGCCTGAGCATGTGAACATCATCAACCAGTGGCATAAATTCAAACTTATTCTTACCCTGTCTACACTGAAAGATCTCATCAGGCATTCTGGGCTATACCTGGTGATGGAAAACACAGGGTAAACACAACTTGAGTTAAGCTAGACCTGTGTTCTTGTTGTACCAGGTTCTAACTTTCTTGCCCCATTAAATCCCATTTTAGATAACCGTCTATGACCAGGAGAACTTCCAGGGCAAGAGGATGGAGTTTACCAGCTCCTGTTCAAATGTCTCTGAGTGCAGTTTTGATAATGTCCTGTCCCTCAAAGTGGAATGTGGTGTGTAAGTATGGGCCTCAGCAGAACTGCAGGCCCCTTATTTCAAGTCCCTTCAGACACAGGACAATATGAATAGAGATAGGGGAAGAAATATGTTCCCCAGACATTGAACATTTCTTGGAGGGAAGCCTTTATCATGGAGTAATTTCAAAAGAAATTACTACATACATAATTTAGTAACCAAAGGTAGGACTATGATGTTGTCAGTTGCCTAGTACCAGATTTTTTTTGGGGGGGGGGAGGAATTAAAGAAATATGTATGATGCAGTGAGGCAGTGACCCTGACAGACCTGAGATGCTATCTAGGATTTTCTCAGAACAGCTATAGAGCCCTCGTCTTTCTTGCTTACAGAAAATAAGGAGAGGACACTGTCAGGCAGCTGCTGCTTTATGGCTAACTCTCCCAAATGTCCCAGAGCAGATGCTGTTAATTTCTGCATATAAAAAGGAATTTAACCCCAAGACTCCAGAGAAATATTAGTTCCTAGTCTTCCAAGTTTCTTCTTGATGGTCAATCTTGACAAAGGAGAATCTCTCACCTTTATCTTCTGGCTCTTAGCAGGTTGGGCCAGGCCTTTGTCAAAAGTCTGAAACATAAAGAGAACTAGGCAAAACTGGCATTGTATGTGGCCAGGTTTCCACAAGTTGCTTGCCACAAAAACAGAGCTCTTCAGGCCTTTTAAAACAGATAACACATTTAATATCACCAGTAATTAAGACCCAATTGTGAAAAATGAAGCTAGGGTGTCTCAACAAATAAGGTCTAAGTAGGGGAAAGCAGGAGAAAGAATCCATAAAGCGACAAGGAAAAAAGTTGAGTCATTCATCAGCTATTCATTCTTTTGCTTTTTTAGGAAGATGTCTATAATTTGGCTGAAACAAAAGCAAGTCAGTCACTAGATCATGAATTTGGAGCTCCAGATAGGAAATAGGTAACTTAGAGGGAAATATAGTTTTGGTAACATCACTAGGGCCAATGAAGTGCTCTTTCATCCCAAAACAAATACCATTTACAAACCTGCTTAATGTAGCTGCCTGACCATTTCCCACCTCTTGTGATAAATTTATTATTTTGTATGGCTCTATTGGGGTTGGTTTATTTTACTGACTATAATCTAAAATGAATGTTGCCTTCTCCCTGATACTGAGACCATACAGGCTTTGAACAGCATGAATAACCCCACTACTTGTCTTTGGCAGCTGGATTGGTTATGAGCATACCAGCTTCTGTGGGCAACAGTTTATACTGGAGAGAGGAGAATATCCTCGCTGGGATGCCTGGAGCGGGAGCAATGCCTACCACATTGAGCGTCTCATGTCCTTCCGACCCATCCATTCAGCTGTGAGTGCGAAATTTTCACTTCTGTGCAAGGGGAAGGGGCAAGAGAGGGCGCTGATTGAAAAATTTACTTCTTTTCAGTTACGTTCAATGTGGCAGGAAGGATAAAAGTAAAAAGAATAATTGCTCCTTTTCGCAAAGTTGGCCATTTGGTTTTTCTTTACCACGTGCTATTTTCTTTAAGCTAAAATGTAAGGGTTTTCTTATAGATGGCAGGAAGCACATACTACAGAACTAGAAAAAGCACTTGCCATGTAGTTTTATGCAAAGTAAATTCACGACTAGTTGAATTTCAACATGTTAACTTTTTACTACAAACAGGGAAGTGCTTAACCTTTCAGTAAGGATGAGTAGACAAGTTTTCAAGTATCTCTAATATGTATTGATTCACAATAATCTTGTTTCTAACACTAAGTATATCAGGCTGCCTTTAGTCGTGTAAGAGTTTATGCAGAAGCAAGATCTTCAGACATGTTAAAAATGATTCTTATATTGGGAATGAGGTCAGACTTTCTGAATATTCAGTTCCTGTCATGTGACTTTTTTCCTCATTATTTTGACTTCATGTTAGTTCAAAGTGATACTAAAATTCAACCAATGAAGATAACAAATGGCTGTAAATCTCAAAAAAAAAAAATCTGATTTCATCTTCCCCCCACTTCCCCCTTTTTTAAACTTCAGGTATAACAGACACAATAAAATGCACAGATCCTAAGCATACAGTCATGAGGCTTGGAAAACATATACTCATGTATCTAACACCCTAATCCTACAGAACAATCCCACAACCACATAAAAACTTCCCAGTACCCTTTTCCAGTCAATTGCTCCATCACTTTCCATCATTTTGCCTATTCAATTAAGTCTCTGCCTTAATGCTTGTCATATTCACATCCCCTATTGGATGTCCAACATACACACATATTGGCACGCACTTCTTGTAGGAGTTTGATTTTTCTACAGTAGTGGGTATTAATCCCTTGGTTGGCTGTTACAAATATTTTTTTGCACAGTCATACTCATTGTTCCAAAGTATTCTATCACTTATTTGTACATTTTAAATGTTACATTTATATTTGGATTAAGGATTATGGGTATGATCATGTACCTTTTTGTAAACCAAGTTTCTTTCAATTTTGAGAACTATGGCAAAGAATAAAGATGAGTCATAACACTAGTACAAAAGGTTTTTAATTTCTTGATTACAGAATCATAAAGAGTCTAAGATTACCATCTTTGAAAAAGAGAACTTTATTGGACACCAGTGGGAGATCTGTGATGACTACCCCTCCTTGCAAGCCATGGGTTGGTTCAATAATGAAGTTGGCTCCATGAAGATACAATGTGGGGCGTAAGTACAAAATCAGGGATGGAGAACATTCTGAAGTTAATTCCTGCACATACAGACTTTGTGAACATTAATGGTTGCTTTATTAATACACTGGCATCACATTGGTATGGATGTCACATTCTAGTTATCTTGAATCTCATGCTATTTGCACCAGCTACCACTTAAGATTGCTCCTAAGCATTTATGTTGACTTAAATCTTTTTTTTTTTGGTACTGGGGATTGAACTCAGGACCCTGCACTTGCAAGGCAGTCGGCGGAACTACTGAGCTAAATCCCTGGCCCCGACTATTAAATCTTTTCACAATTAAGGTTAATCTTTAATTAGTTGTAGCCAATATTCTGTTCACAAACACTGCCTGATACATTAAGGAAGGCTATTATTGTTCTCTAAGCCTAAAAGCACCATTCTGTTGAGGTTCAGATTTTAGGGTATTTGTCAGATTCCTAATACAGTAGTTTTAATAATGCAATATGCTTTCAATTTCCTAGCTGGGTTTGCTACCAGTACCCTGGATATCGTGGTCATCAGTACATCCTGGAATGCGACCATCATGGAGGAGACTATAAACACCGGAGAGAGTGGGGTTCTCATGCCCAGACTTCTCAGATCCAATCTATTCGCCGTATCCAACAGTAATGGATTAAAACTTCCAATAAGAGAATTCCTCAATCATGAGACCTTGCTAAGCCCTGTTTTATGTTCTGCTCAGACACTGCTTCCAAACGTTAGCTGCTGAAATCCACAATAAATGTCATTTAAAAAAAGGAAACAAAAACTTTGTAGACTAAATTAACTATCATTCTTTATACAAATCACATTTAAGTGGCTGAGAAATTTTAAAGATAAACTTTAATAAAACCCAAATTCCTTTTGTGTCCTTGCAATTCACTTAGCAGGACAAGGACAATTATTCCCTTTCTCAAAGAAAAAGCATTTAAACTATACATTATCAGTCTCTATAGTGACTGTTTATGCATTTTCTCCCCAACCCCTAATGTTGACCTTAGCATTTTTTCTTACCATTTGCAACAAACTGACTTTTTTACAATTTGCACTGAACAGTATGTCTAATATGTACTACCATGTTTTTCCATAACAAGTTATGAATAAACCTAGAATACTGGCATTCTACCTGCTTACTTAGCTCAATTTTGGTTTATTTCAAATGCAAGAGCTTAAGGCTCAATGTCCTCAAAAAGGTAAAACAGCTGTTCTCATAGCTGATTTTTTTCAATAAACATTCTAACTCCAAGCACAATAACCTGTATGATTAAAAACAAGGAAACAATAAAAAGATGTAAGAACACAGTTCATTTAAGATTCAAATTTTTTGTACATTTCATCCTTCTCAGGGAAAAACTATCAATGTTACAATGTTAACTGTTTTTAGTAAAGACTTTAAAAAAGCACACAAAGATAACACATACACCTCAGAAACTTCAAAATTTTTTATTCAACAGTGTACACTTGTCTCAATTTGATCTACAAATCTCTTGGGTTTTTTATTCTGATAAAATAAGTAAATCTGAGTATGGTTGTAAAGTGTAATTTTTATTTTTAAAACGCTGAACATTTAAGACATCAGTAAAGGAAGATCATTATGTGACACTTCCTCAGAATCCATGACATCTGAAACAGCTATAGCAAACACCTAAGCATTTAAGCAAAGGGGTAAATTTCTGGTCACTGCTCTTATATCTAAAGACCTATCTTTTTTTGCTGGGCAAAACAAACATTGAAAAAAAAATTTTGAGAGGAAGGGAAAATATGTAATGTAACTATAATCAACTAATTACCCTTTCCCCCAAATTAAAAGGTAACTCACCTCCTAAGTGCCTATGCACATCAAAAATCACTTTGCGGGCTGGGGATTTAGCTCAGTGGTTTCGGAGCCTGCCTCACAAGCGCAAGGTCCCTTTGATCCCTGGTACCAAAAAAAAAAAAAAAATCACTTTGCTCCTCTAAGACTGAACATAAGTGAATGACTGACAAATGCTGAAAAGTAGCCAAAGCCATCTAAGATGCTTACTGCACCTCCTTCATTTCTTTTAATGCCATATTTCAAATCTTCACTAGTATACTAATTGCCATTATCACTGAAGATACAAACAGAAGGAGGGTTTTGCTGAGTTTTCAAAGTTAACAATTATCAAGTGCAGTGGCTTGATGAGTCACCCTCTTCTATACACAGGAAAAGATCTAAAACAGGATTTCTTTTATATCTAGGAGTATGGGGAAAACACTATTAGTAGTATCTTCTACTTAAAACTTTTAGCCTCTTCTACAAAGGTCCTGAGATTACAGAAAAATCTTGTAAAAGATGACTTTGTAAGACCTGGCTAGGACATGTATACAACCTTAAGCACACATATATGTGAAATAGCTATTCATGCAAACTGCAGTGTTCGAATCAAATGTGCCTAATTTCTAAACTTTTAATCAGTTGGGGCAATTTTTATAAAAGATACACATTATCTTTGAAACAATCTGTGCTTTGATCTTTAAACTGACTATAATCTCAGACCAATCAGTCAATAAACCAAATTTATGATAAAGCAAACAATACAAGACTATCCTATCTCTAAACCAGCTTATGACAAAACTGTCAGAGCTCCATGCAGCAAAGGTCCTTCCTTCATTTGTTTGAATTACTTCCCATTTCTTTTTCATCAAATAAGCCAAAATGTCACTGAGAAAGAGCATCCAATGGTTTATAAAGCTGGTAGAACTGCCCCATTTCAAGAAAAGCCCTTTAATAGATTCAAGTCAAGCTCCCATTTAAACTGAACTTTATTAAAATGGGTGCCAGTTTTCTTCTAGTTCTATTGATAAAATAGCCCAGAACTGTAACTTTGAGCCATGTTTCCAAAGATGGTAAAGCTAAGAACAAGAAAATAATGATAGGTCACTTTTTGTAATGACACACAAATTAAACTTTCAAAACATGTGCATAGCTTTATTCATCTACTTAGGTCTAACCTTTTCACGGAGCTTCGGCAAAATTTGAGTGTGCAAAATGCATTTCTAAAACGTAATGCAAGCAAAGCTTTTCACATTTACACTGGCAGGAAATACAGAGAAACTAACAAGTCACATTAGGGAGAGTTCAGTTTTTTTTTTAATTAACAAGAATTGCACAGTTTATTATTTTGAGACAATTGTTGCAGACATAAATATTTAAAATTTTCTAAGCAAGGTGCTTTAACAATAAAAATTTTAAAGTTGAAAAGAGCCAATAGCTTGGATCAAAGCTCACACAGAATCCCAAATTATCAAGGACTCCATTATCTCCCTATATTTTGAAGCAATGCTTTTAATAACACTTTTTATAACACTAAAGGAGACAGCAAGCTGAATTTTTTTTTTCAAAGCACACAAGAAATGGTGTCATCACATTACGTGAAGGTGCTAAGGGTGGGGGAAGGAAAAGAAGTGAGGAATCCTTTTACTATTTCCCACTACAAAACAGCCACTAACAGACTTTAAAAATAATAAAAGAAAAAGAAACAACCAAAATAGTTTCCCCAGTTTATAAAATAGTTCCAGTTTGACAAGATCTGTAACTTTAAACAGAGAGCACCAGTTGGGCAATAGAATGAGCATTTCATACTGCATAAAAATTAGTGAGGTGGTTAAGAACCATTAACTGTCTCAGGCATTACTACATGGCCTTTCCAAAAATTTTAAATATACATGCAAGGCACATTGATATAAAAATAGATCTCTAGCCAACAAATATATTAAATAAGCAAATCAAAAATTTTGGCTCTACAATATTGGCAACATCAAAATATAACCAGATAGCTTTGGACCACACATCTTTTCACATTCCTCCACCGCATTTGGTGTTTTCCCCCATTATTTTAGGTTCCATCTCCTTCAAGTCTGAGTATGTGCTTGAGAAATGACTTTTCCTTTTGTCAAGTAGCATTCCTTCCACAGTTTACCCTTGCTAAGTAAAAATATATTAGAGAAACAGAATAGTTGGGAATTTTGACTGATTTAACTAAATTTGCTGGTTCAGGACAGTATTTCTCCTCTGTATACAAATAAAAGTAAGTCCCAGCTTACATAGTAGACAATTGTTTTCTAAAAGATCACCAACAAACCAACACTACTTCCTTTAAGCCACTCTTCCCATTTTCTCTTTTTCAGGCAGAGAGAGGGAACAATAAAAACAAAGCTAAGATTTATATTTTCAGCAGTAGAAGACATTTTAAGGCCAAAAAGTGTAATATTAAACAGAATTTTTATTTTCCTAAGTTATTGTCATTCATAGGCCAATACCAACTATGGATTAGTTTCTGTTACTGATTCTCTCCCACAGAGAATTATAAAAATTCACTCACTTTTGTTAGTGGCTGTGCTACAGAAAAAGTATCAAAGTAACCTACGGTATATGTATGATATATAGTAATGTAAAAAGTGCATCACATTCTTGATTTTCAGTTTCTCATAGCAGCAGCAGAATTAATCTAAGACAGAAAACAGTTGTATTTTCATTCTAAAAATGCAATATATGAAATGTATTCAAGATCATGAAAGTATTCTCCTCTACAGATAAATGAAAAGACTAATAGACAAAACAAAAGCAAACAAAAGGCATTCATTCATATTTACATATTAAAACTTTTGTTAACACCAAACTTTTACATCTAGCAAAAGAAATAACGCATTTTAAGAATAAAGCAGACATTACTAAAGCAGTATCCATTTTGGAGCCTTTGTATATTAGCACCTGAGAAAACAAGGGCATGTGGAAAGCTATTTAATTTACCTCAAATTGGTTTGTTGGTCTGTAGAGTACAACTCTGATATACAGTGAAAGCAAAATTGAGATGGAAAATAAACACTTGCAGATAGTTTTAATAAGGCTGTAGAAAAGGGATACTGCAGTATTATAAAATGGCTTTCAAACTCTGGACTTAACAAAATTTTATGAATAGGGAAGTCTGAATCAACAATCTCATCATATGTTGAGAATGGCTGTTCCAGTTTCTAGCCCATACCTGCTACCACATTTGACATTCCCAGTAATGCAAAAGCAATGTACCATTTGCGGTTCATGGGGTGTTTTATTTTGGAGACAACCAAAAATTCTTTTGTTACTATTGCTGACATCCTTTCTACTTTAAGACCTTTCTTGAGCAGCAAAGCTGTGAAAACTAAAACTCAGTAAAGCAGTGATTTTGAGTGGAGCCGATGACTCATTTTTTAAACCAACCCAGTGTGGTGGTCCTGGTTCTTACTCTGAACAGACCAATGTTTAAAAAGGAACATTCTAAGATACTGAAAGCAGAAGCCCATCTTTTTCACCATAAACGAATCCTGATGCTGTCAATTAACAAAAAAGGACATCAATTTTAAGAACTAATGTTGACTTATGTGCCTGTGGCAAACTTAGAGCAGCTATTTATACTTCTAGTATTGTCCTCTGCCCCTTCCTTTCAAATAACTACTGGTTGGGGTCAGGGGATAAGCAAATCTTTAAAAGAATCAAGTTTTGGACACAGCTATTAAGACACTTTCCTATCAGCATCTACTTTGACTGGAATAGCATCAATAGGCCTTATAAAAACTATTGCCCCACTATACGTACTTATCCCCTACATTGTATCAATTATACAGTTAGCATACATAAGGATTCATAGGTTAACTATACTCCCAATCCTTAAAAGTTCAACATTTAACCTACTTTTCTGGAGAAAGCTTTACAAGAATGACTCTCTCCTAATTTGGTGGAATTTAAAAGTCAGTAGTCCTTTAATTTCCTTGCCTGTGACGATTTGGTATATGGCATACAATTTCACTAAATGTCTTTGTGTGTATAAACTCACAATGATTACAAAAGAAAAATTATTAAGATGTCTCTGATGTGGACTAGCAACAACCCTAACAACCAAATATGAAATTACTGCTGCTAAGGTCCGGAGTTCGATCCCTGGTACCAAAAAAAAAAAAAGAAAAAGAAATTACTGCTGCTATGCTGTATTTGTGAAAACACATTTTATAATATGGACAACTTCCATGGTTGAGGTCTGTCATATTTTTCCTAAAAACTTATTTGAGAAAACAATGTAGCAGGTTTTTTTTCCTTTATAAAAAAGTTTTTGCAGATTCTGAGTGATGACTAGATAAGCAGATTTATTTAGGACAGCAAAATTCTAAAATGTAGAGAAACTCTCTGGCCATTTCTTTTTGAGGAGAGAAAAGGCTGTCACTAGAAAATTTGCTATTGGCTAATCCCCTCATAGAAAAAGGAGAAGGAAGGGTTACTACAGATGCTGTAAATACACTTTATGTTAAGGTTCATTACTAAGGAGATTAAAGGAAAAGCTATGCAATTAACTTCAGTTCAGCAAAGTAGGGGGTGAATAAAGAGAGATAAATACACCCTGTCTTTTGTGGGGAAGGGATTATTCAAGATATCTACACAAGAGTGGTATGTGACACAAAAGCCTACAATCAAGACAAATTTAAAAAGAAATCTTCACCCATAATTGAGTATCTTCATAGCTATTAAAAAAATAGGTCATGATTTCATTCTTAGTGCCATATTTGAAATACTACCCTTTTAAGGATTTAAACCACCTGATTTTATTCTGTGTAATGAAAACAAATGGCACAAAATAAATACAAGTTTCATTCTCTGAATACTAATAGGTCTTACACACATTCATTTACTAATTTTTAATATCTCCATCTTTCCCAAACATCCAGTACACACACACATACACCCACACACCCCCTTTTCAGTCTTTTTAATGGAGGGATGTTAAAAATCCCCTCTAGACTGTATTTGGTTTATGCTACAGTACTAATACTCTGAGTTGAAGAAAAACTTATACTGAACAATAACACATTGTTATTTAAATGTGTTAAATTAATCACAGCTGAAGTTTGTTTAGAAGCTTACACAAAAATAATCAGAAAACAGGTCAACTCTTAATATTTTTTTAATAAGTGCTCTGTAAGGAATTGTGTGAGGACCTAAGGAGAAAGACTGCGACAAGGAGAGTCAATTAAGTATAACCAAACAGCACAAAGGAGATTTGTCCCAAAGTCCTGCTTGTACCTAGGCAGTTAAGTCCATTAACCCAATGCCCCCAAAATACTGACAGTTAAAATATGATGGGGCACTAGGGTTCCCAGAAAGTCTAAAAGACATTCCTAACTACTATATACCTCTAACCATATAATCAAGAAAATTTCAGTGGAGAAATCAAAGTGAAATGTTGCATTGTTTCATTTAGAAGACTCTCAAAAAACCTTTGGACAAACAGAGAAGGGATACATTCTTTTTACCTTCTCTGAACAGAGGCCTGAGGGATATGGAGGGGAAAATAAGAAAATGAAAAAAAGGCTTTTGAAAGGTATAAATTGTTACTTCTAAAATAAGCCCAATTCAGATGGGGATTGTTTTTTTTTAAATATATGCTTGTTCGACCTCTGTATGTCACAAATCCAGAAGTTTCTTGTGAGTTGTTAGACAGAAGAAATTTAAAATTTCAGGCAAGCAAAATGGACATTTAAAAAGGGGGAATGGGGTGGGGATCTGGCCCTAAGGCGACAAGTGGTTACACAAGGCAATTGAACACACAGCAGAACTTTAAAACCTGTAAAACAAACTGGAGCCAGGGCTGGGGATTTAGCTCAGTGGTTCTGGCACCTGCCTCGCAAGCGCAAGGTCCAAGTTCGATCCCCGGTACCAAATATAAAACAAACTGGAGCCTTTTTTACCCCTTGAATCAACTTTTTTTTTAAAACGTTTTTGAAAAATTTTATTAAAAAAAAAAAACACAAAAACACAGACTTTTTCACTTCAGTATGTGGTATGTTGCATTTTCCAGTTTGTTCAATGCTTTAAAGCTCAAGGATGCCTCTGCTTTCAATTGTACATGGGCCTGAAGCATCCTAGCTTTTGGCAAGCAAGCAGGAGACTCAACAAAAATCAAAATAGGAACAAGGCAGACTAAATGCAGGGCACATCTGTAAACATATTATACATTTGAAAATTACAATTATCAGTAAAAGTGATACAGTTTACAGGTGAAATAAACTATCTGGAACTGGCCTACCACAAGTTTCTGAACCTGGACTCATACAATAAGTTATTTTATATATATATGTGTATGTATGTGTGTGTGTATATATATACACACACACACATACATACACATATATATATAATGTATAAAAAGTTTTGTTTACATCAAGTGGAATTGGCAATCCATGCTTACACTTTTAAAAAATCTAAGCAGGGCAGAAATCCAGACTAAAAAGATATTTGCTCTACTCTAACACTGAGCCCAACAACTTCTTTCATGAACTACTTGTTAAGTCTCGGTCAACAGAACAAGAAAACCCATCCACACTACAGTCGCTCAAAACTGGACATTTCTTAAGCAAAGGGGTAGAGCAAATTTGGTAGTTACTTCTCTCCCCAAATACCCCCAGGAGATCCAGTCTACTTTTATAAGACTATGACTATATAAATGCCCTGCTATCTCAACCTGTATTTGACATACATGGATATACTAATTTCTGTGTATGTGTGTGTTGTGTGTGATGCTATGTCAGGCCAGAGAACTTGTTATTATGCCGCTAACATCACCCTTAAATTGGACCCTTAGTTTCTTCACACACACAAAAAGTTTATTTTAGCATGCTATACACAAGTTGCAGTGCAACAGGATGGCAATGTGATAAGACAGGGCTAATGCTCTTCTCTGCCCAAAACAAAATTTCCAGAATTTCACATTATTTTCCCTAAAAATCCATTTTTCTCTAGTAATAAAATATATTTATTAAGATATAATTAGAAGCTAGTAAGCTCAGAAGTATAATTTGCATGAAAACACACCTCCTATTAACAGGGTTCATTAACGTCTCACTGGCTAAAAACATGTTTTAATTCTTATGGGCTTTTTCCTTCCCCTTTTAGATTTTGCTGAGAAATTAAAGAGATTTACAGAAAGGTACATACATTTCTCTGATGTTTGATGAAAAATGAGAAAAACTGCACATTTAGTGTTAGTGACAGAGAGCAAGTCTGGAGCACCTACAGTTGAAAAGCAGAATATATTTTTGCTCCCAGTTATACAATTACATTAAAATATGGGCACAAGAATTTTATTCCATATCTAAGTCGATTGCTTGTTCTGCAACTTTTCTTTAATATTCATGGATTCTTCGGTTGTTGTAAGTCCAACATGTAACCAAAGCAAGTTAACTATGTACCCACCAGCTATTCCAGAATTGTAGAACTTCAAGGCCCTCCCCTATTCCCACCCCACAAAACATAAAAGGAAAGAAAGTATTTTCCCAACAACCCAAAGAGGCTGCTTAACTCCTGGCAAGACATGCAAATCATATTCGCTAAAAAATACACCCCTGCAAACTTCAAGGCATTTATCCAGCATTCTCGCAGGGCTTAAAGTAAAACCAAAATATCAAGGGAGTAGGGGAAAATGCTGAATCATTCTGGGTTCCCCGTGATTAGTGTATCACTTTAGTCACAGAACAAGATACAGAGATCTTTTAAGTGGATTTGCCTCTTTCACTGGGTCATTTGTTGCCCAAGGTGATGACAGCAGGAACTTTAGAACCACACTTGTTAAGTCTGTATTCATTAATCACTTGCATTCACACTTAAAAACAAAAACTAACAAAAGAAAAAACAAAAACAAAAAACTATTCAGTACCGGAGATTAAATAACCATGTGTAGTCTCTTGAAATAAATTTGATTCCTTAAGAAGTCTAATTACTTTCAGTTGCCTTTTTTTAAATAACTATATATATATATATATATATGTATATATATATATTTGTATATATTATCCTGTGATTCTACTTATGGTTCCTCTGCTGCATTGAAGATCTAGGAGCATAAAAGCCTTGTATCCCTCATGAACGGTGGCTCTAATGCTGCAGAAAAGTTACGAATAGACAGTCTGGTCCTTCATTGATCTGGACTATCCATGGCTTCATTGTAAGTGATTATCCTTTTGGGATCTAGAGGAAAGTTTAAAATAAATAAAAATAAGGCCTAGAATCTCAAAACATCCATGATCCAAAAACAAATTCCAAGTAATCACTTAAACTGTCCCCCTTCTTATTATAAGACAATTCAACAGCCATTTCTCTTTTATATCAAATACATGTGTGATTCAATCTCTCAACTCAAAAGTAGTTGTTTGCACTCCAACAGATTCCCATCAACAAGATATTCTAGCCAGTGAGACTACAGACTAACAATGGTTGAGCTTATTTAATTTTAATCAGAATGTACCATTCAGCAAGGAATGGCTCAAGTAAAATCTAGCACCAAACACATTAGGTTAAAGTAGTTTGGCACAGCCAATTTAATTCTAATCATGACTCAGTTTATTCCTTCTTATTTTCTTTTTTTTGGTACTGGGGATTGAACCCGGGACCTCGTGCTTGTCAGGGAGGAGGCGGCACCAATGAGCTAAATCTTCAGCCCAGCAATACTTTATTCTTAACAGAATCAAAAGTACGTGCTTAACATGTGCAAGGCCCTGAGTTCAATCCCTAGCATCACATCAAAGATAAATGAAATAAACTCTATGGATTTTGAGTTCAAAATACAAAACAGTCAGAATGTGACTAGACAAAGACTGTAGAGCTATTCTAAATTCCTGTTACTCCAGAGGCAGAGACAGGAGGACTACAAATTCAAGCCCAGCCGGGGGAATTTAGTAAGACCTCCATTTCCCAAAAAAAGGAGGGGTGGGGCATTGTGGAGGCATTCAGTGTAAAGATCCTGGGTTCAATCCCCAATATCACAAAATAAACAAACAAACAAATGGGGTGGGGGAGGTGAAGGAACAGTGTTAGGAAATTAGGAGAGCCTACATTCTAGTCCAGCCAATTTATAAAGAAACCTCTGGGGGTCTCATTTCCCCAATATGTAAAATAAGAAGAGATTAATATACTTCTAGCACTGGAAGTATAAAATTCATTTATATTAACCTACAAAGGAGATGAGAAATGGATACTTTTATTACAAGGTTCTGAAAACCCAAGATCTTTTTTTGGGGGGGTAGATGGGTTCATTATGTAGTCCAGGCTGGCCTTGCAGCAATCCTCTTGCTGGTATTGCTGAGATTACAGGCATGCACCACCTCGGTGCCCAGTTTGAAAACCCAAATCTATAGTCAGTGATTAGTTCTCCAACCAAAACTTTTATATTCCATACCTATCACATTTTAATATATTTAGAAAAGAATACAATTGGGTAACAAAAACTTTTTGAAAGTTCTAAATCCACATGTGTAATATCCCACTCCCTCTGTCCTCTCCTGTGCTAGTTACATTTTTGTTACAGGAAGGTGAAAAGCTAATCTGAATTCTTTATATTTCTAATGATCTCAGAGAATATACAGTCCTACTGCAGCTAATATTTTTCTGAACTATAAATTTAAGTTCTTAGGCTATCCCTTGTCTACCATACAAATATTACAGATAGAAACTGGTCAAAGTGGAAAACAATTATTCATGTTGGTTTCCTAGATGAAAAACACATACTTTGTTTTTTTCTTACAGTGCTGGGGATTGAACCTAGGTCCTGGGTACATGCTAAACATGCACTTTAGCTTCTTGTCTCTTTCATAATCACAATGGAAAAACCACTAGTGCTTTTCCCCAGTAGGTAAATGTACTTTCATATATTCTTTTTAATTACAGTGTTATCCTATCCCAAGAAGTCCTAGCCCTGCAGCTAGCCTTTTGACTATAGTTATTAACACAAAAACAATGTAAAAAGATTACTGATTAGTTCATTTTAATTAATCTAACCATTCTTACCTTGCTTCTGCAAATTCCAAATAGATTCCATTTCTATAAAAAAAAAAAAAGGATTATTTTTCAAATTTTCAGTGAATAAAAATCCTATTTCTTATAATGGCTCACTGCTATTTAAAAACCCCACCCACTACTTCTTGGTAACCCAGCATTCTTCAATAAGGTGCCCAAATCTTCTGAATAAAGCATTCAGCAAATCTATCAATTACACTTAATGCTTAATAGTTTAAGCACCCAGGCAAGTGATGCTGACCTCTAAATCATACCTCTCCTATTTTAACCCTTAAAGTAAAAAATGCCAATTAATACCCATCTATTTATCAATGACACCCAATCCTCATTTGCTCTAATTTCATCCAAAACATCTACAATGCACTTATTATAGCATGTTACAATAAAGGAAATGTGATATGGCCAAACTATGATATATGGAAAGAAGGCAGTAAGAATTCTACCTAGCATACAAGAAAGCCTCATAGGGAATCTGTGAAGTCTTGATAGGTAGAGAATAGATGACTATTACATAGCAGGAACCAAAGTATTAGACCTTAAAGGAAATACTATACTAGGACATCTACCCAGTGAAAGGAATACACTAAAACCAAGACTAAGGATAAGTACATTTTTCATGGTCATACAACTATCATTTTAAAGGATGAAATTATTTTATTCTCACTGGATTCTGTGTAATTCTAATCAAATTTATCAGCAACCAAATATAAATTTAAGAAAAATAAAACAAGCTAATTGAGATGGGACATGGAGGGCAGGGGATTTAGCTCAGTGGTTCTGCCACCTGCCTTGCAAGTGGAAGGACCAGAGATTGATCCCTGGTACCAAAAAAAAAAAAAAAAGATGGGATATGGGTTATATTTAAGGGGCAACATAATACCTCCCCAGGTGTAAAAGAAATTAAATGTATGGACCTAAAATTATAAACCGAATCTGGTGATAATGTGCCAACTACTACTTGGTCATGCTTAGTTATAGGCTGATGGCCTTTAACTCTCTGCACAGATCCCTAAAAGAGGAGGAAAATTTCCCTATCCTTGAGAGGTCTAAACAGAGGAAGAGAACCGTAACCAATCAAATCTGAAAAAATAAGACATATCAGGAAGGGAAATCTATCACTCCAATACTATTTCTAACTTCATTAGTTTTGGACAATGAGAAATAGGTGAAGAACAGTCTACCTTCAAGAGCTGTTATCCTATAAAATTCATCTCAAAATGGCTCTTTTTTGGGGGCCCAGGGTGGCTTTGGAGTTGACCCCAGCCTTCAGACAGAGCTACATTTCTCAACCCTTTTACTTTTCATTGATAGGATCTCACTAATTTTGCTGGATCCTCCTGCCTCAGCCTTCCACAGTGCTGGGATTATAGGCATGAGATACCATGCCTGGCTAAGAATGGCCTATTTTAAGAATCCAAACACAAGGGCCAGGGTTTTAGCTCAGTTGGCACAGTGCCTGCCTCTCAAGTGCAAGGTCCTGAGTTCGATCCCCAGTACCGGGGGGAAAAAAAATCCAAACATCCAAATAAGCCTTGTATTAGCTGACCTCACTACAAAAAGAAATAAGCAATACTTATTTTTTTCTTCTAGTCAAAGTGCATAAATTTCAGTTTACACCAAATAAATTCCTGACATTTTGTATATGCCAATTACTTGATACTTATTTTTCGCTGGCTTTAAAGATAAATCTATTATTTAGCTTTATGTTGAGAAAAAGTTAATCAAACCTTACATTTCAGCCTATCTATGCTATAAACATTTCCTTTTCTGTACTCAAGCCTCAACCTGTCCCCGTCTTTCTTTTTTGAGGGAGAAGGATGCACCTGAGTCACAGTAAGGGGCTGGTTAGATGTAGCTCAGTGGTAGAGTGCTTGCCTGGCAAATGTTCTGGGTTGGAGACTGAGTATCGGGGGAGGGGGAGATGGGTCACAGTTAACATCTATAGCGGTTTAAAAACATGTAAATTTTAGAATAAAGACAACAAAAACACTTAAAGATAGATGTATCTTTAGTAGGTTAAAGATATTTCCCTACCTTAAACTAAATCACCAAATCTAAGGTTGTACACAAATGGATGGGGGAGGGGCATGGGAGGGGTGTTGAGACAGGGTCTCACTATGCATTTCAGGCTAGCCCTGAACTACGTGGCCCAGGCTGGACTCGAACTCCTGGCATTCCTCCTGCCTCTGTCTCCTGAGTGCTGGGGTTACAGGTGTGCACTGCCAATGGCAAGTATGGATTTTTAAATGATTTAGGTAAGCTAATTTTATTACCCTCATACATGGATTCTGGAATGGTGAATTTGATTATGACTTCTGACGGTGGAAAAGCAATAAAACAGAAAGACTAATCTTGTGTCATTATAGCTACTAGTCAAGAAATAAGCTGAACTGAGAAATGAACACATTTTCCCTTCCTTGTTATTTAATGTAACTTCTATGACTACTGGCAACTTCCTGTATCAAAAAATTTTTTGGTGGGGCCGGGGATTTAGCTCAGTGGTTCTGCCGCCTGCGTCACAAGCACAAGCTTCCAAGTTCAATCCCTGGTCCAAAAAAAAAAAACATTTTTGGGCCGGGGATTTAGCTCAGTGTTTCTCCCGCCTGCCTGCAAGCACAAGGACCGGAGTTCGATCCCTGGTACCAAAACAAAACAGAACATTTTTGCAGCACCAAGAATTGAACCCAGGGGTACTGCATGCTAGGCAAGTACTCTACCAAAAGCTACATCCCCAACCCTCCTTTATAAAAATGTAAATTTCGGGCCAGGGATTTAGCTCAGTGGTTCCACTGCCTGCCTTTGCAAGAGCAAGGTCCCGAGTTCGATCCCCAGTACCAAAAAAAAAGGAAGAGCAATTTCCTTGAAACTCAAACAAGAAGGTTAAGATAAAAAAAGGAAATAACTAACAAGAAGTAACAATGTTAATAATGATAGAAAACACAGATCATTGGCATTAACATTCTGCCTTAGATTACAAGTCTCAATTCATTTTGTATATGAAACACGTTACTGTGTGTAACAACATTTTAACTATCTCAAGAAAAGCTAAATAGTACAAGATTATAGAAGGCACTTTTAAGGATTAAAAAAAAAACATTATACAGTAATTGATCATTTAAGACTGCCCTCTTCACACACAAATCAAATCTTTAATTTGCCAGTTCTTTTTTGAAAAGAGATCACAGCATCCAATTATGCAACATTACTATAAAATGGCCAAAGATCCAAACCAGGTAATGTAAGTAAAGGTTTCTGCTGGTAAGGTACATCAAAGTAAGCAATTACGTTAAAATGTTGTAATTTAGACCATTATCATCCAATTTGAAATTTTATTATTAGTTCGAACCTCTAGGGCCAGGCACATACTTATAATCCACCTATTTGGGAGGCTGAGGTAGAAGGATAACAAGTTTCAGGCCAGTCCTGGAAATTTTGTGGGACCCTGTCTCAAAAAAATTTAAGGGCTGAGGCTGTATTCAGCGGTACAGCATTTGCCCTACCATGTACAAGGCCTTGGGTTAGATTCCTAGCAAAAGAGAAAAGGAAAAGAGAAAGAATAAAAGAAAAGAGAGGAAAAAAAGAGGGAAGGAGTGAGGGAGGGAAAGGAAAGGAAGAAAAAAAGAGCATCCTCTATGAGCTTAGTCTACACTGCTTTGTTGGGAAGATAGGTTCTAAAGCAAAAAAATGAACAAAGACTGGTGGTATTAAAGAACAAGGTGTGGGGCCAGGGATTTAGCTCAGTGGTGCCACTGCTTGCCTTGAAAGGGCGAGGTTCTGAGTTCGATCCCCAGTACCAACCCCTGCCCCCAAACAAGGTATGCCAGGAGTCATGAATCAGGAGACTTGGTTTCTATCCATTGTCTGTTTTTGCAAATTAAGTTATTAGAACACAGCAAGGCACAACAGAGACCATAGAGTTCAAAAGGCCTAAAAATATTTACTACGTGGCTCTTTATTACAGTATATTAACTAAGCCATACTTTAGTGGTTACAAGTACTTTCTCAGCTGCTCAGGAGGCTAAGTCAGGAGGATAGCCAACTCTGAACCCAGCCAGAAGTGACTTAGCATATCAGTCTCAAAATTTAAAAAAACAATGGGGTTGTTGCTCAGTGGAAAGGCCCTGGGTTCAATCCCCAGTACTACAAAATGATCACTATCTAAATTAAGACCTCAATATGTATAAGGTCCCTCATAAACAGAAAATAAGTCAAATATAAGCCCAAATAAGCTGACTTTCACATCTGAGAATCCCAAATTAATTTAACACTCATCATGCCCTCCAATCCCTTAAGTAAGCCACTTTACAACAAATTCCTTTAAATTCAAAGATGGTGACACAGTAAACTTAAAACTGTCATTTTCCTCCTAATCCAGATTCACCCATCTTTTGATGACAGGCTGTCACAATATCATGTTTTATTATTTTCTGTCTTGTTTTTTTTTTTTGGTACTGGGGACCAAACTTGTGACCTTGCTTGTGAGGCAGGTGGCACCACTGAGCTAAATCCCAGGCTCTTGATTTTCTTTTTTTCTTTTTTTGTTTTTTTTTGGGGGTACTGGGGATCAAACTCAGGTCCTTGCGCTTGTGCAGCAGGCAGCGAAACCACTGAGCCAAATCCCCGGCCCTATTTTCTTTTTCTTAACCAGTCTACTATACACATGCATATTCTTTGTTTTGTTTTTGGTACCAGGGATCAAACTTGGGACCTTGCACTTACAAGGCAGGCAGCAGAGCCACTGAGCTAAATCTCCGGCAACACATGCCTATTCTTTTACAAAGACATCTTCCAGAAATGTCTCCCATTCTACTCTTTCAGTTTGACTATAACAAAAAAATACATGTTTCCAAGTAACTTTAAGGTAGTCACCGCCTTTGCAGTAGACATTTAATAAACTTCTTGGTATCAATTTCAATCCTACATTCCCAATTTGAAGCTAAAAACCAATCAGAATAAGCATAACTGTCTGGACCAACTCTAAATACACACAATAGAAACTAAAACTCAAGGATTTTCTTATTTTT